ATCCGCGCGGACAGGAACCACGCGGACGAGGGCTCCCGTCGTCCCCGAGCCCCGCGAGTGCTGGTACCCACGAGACTTGAGGGCGGGGCGCCCGCGGCCTCTCTGCGGAGGGGAGGCCGCCGCCTGGGCGCGCCTCGACATCATGGCGCGCCCCAGGCGGTCCAAGCCTCGCTCGAGCTCTTCTCGGGCTCAGGCCGGCTCACCGCCTCTCTCCGGCGCTTGGGGCTGCGAGTCCTGCCAGGCGCCGAGATCAGGCGCTCCGCCCGATATGATTTGTCACGTCGCACGACGCAGCGAGCTGTGCTGCGTTGGATTCGGAGTGGGAAGCTCTGGTACGTACATCTGGGGACAGCATGCTCCGCCTGGTCAGTCGCCCGCTCCACGCCTTATAACATCGAGCGGGCGCGGCGGTTGGAGGCAGTGTCTGTCGACATGGCGCTCTTCACAGCGGAGGTCATCAAAGAGTGTGACCGCTGTGGCGTACTGTGGTCGCTGGAGAATCCTGCCAGCTCGAAGTTGTTTCGCTTCGAGCCCCTTGCTGTCCTTGCCAGTCTGCCAGACGCCCGATACGTCTCGTTCGATCTTTGCGGGTTCGGAGAAAATGTTCGCAAACCGACCACCATCTTCACCAATGCCATCTGTCTGGACATCCTGGGGAGAAGATGTGATGGGTCACACCGCCATGAGCCTCTGCAGGGTGGGCTCAAGGCTGGAGCCTACTCGCCCGCCCTCTGCCGAGAGTGGGCTGCCGCGCTATGCTCGGCGGCGCCTCCTCAGGCCTTCGGCGACTCCGAGCCGCTCGCCTCCGAGTGGGACGCGGAGCTGGAGGCGCTGGTGCCGCGGTCGCATGGTGCTGCAGCGAAACTCGGGGAGGCTCACGGCGGGACTGACGCCGAGAGCCGCGGGCAGGACTTCCTCGCGCGCCACGCCGTCGAGTTCGGCGGCGCGCGGGGTCATCAAGGCGGCCCTGAGGCCGCCGCTGCGGCAGCAGGGCCGTGCGGCTGTCGGCGAGGAGAAGGAGCGGCTGGCGGTGGCGCGCAGGGCGCGGGCCCCGCCAGCGGCGCGCGACGACTTCCTGCGGCTCGGGACCATCCGTGACTCCACGAAGCGGCTCTACTCAGACGCGCTCGGCAGGTTCAAAGGCTGGGCGAAGTCGAGGCACTACGACCTGGGTAGCTTCAGCTCCACGGACTCGGCGATGGAGCAGTACTTCACCGAGCTGTACTTCGAGGGGTCTGGTCCCGCCGAGGGCCGCAACGTCCTCTACGGCTATATTCACTTCGAGACGCACCTGGATCGGAACAAGGCCAACCTCTTCCCGAAGGCGTCGAGGGCGCTTCGAGGGTGGACCACTCGGGCTCCCCAGCGAGTCCGAGATCCCATCCCCTTCGGCGTCGTCTGCCTGATCGGCCTCTACTTCCTGGACAAAGGCCTGACCGCCGCCGCCGTGTGCCTGGCTCTGCAGTTCGACTGCTACCTGAGGCCGGATGAAGCTGTGTCGCTCCTCCTGTCCTCGGTGCTGCCGCCTGCTCCCCGGGCGGGCCGGCGCTACGCGCGGGCCTGGGCGCTGCTCCTGGGCGAGGCCGAGCACGCAGCGCCCACCAAGACTGGGGTCGTGGATGGGACAGTGGTGATCGGTGAGCTGCAGCGAGCCTGGGTGGCGGAGGCGGTAGGCCTTTGGTACCGCGTGGGCAGTGCAGCTCCCTACATGTTCGATCTGACTCTCTCCAAGTATGAGGCCCTCTTTCGTCAAGCCGCTTTTGACTTGGGCCTCACAGATCTGGACATCTCTCCTCACGGAGTTCGGCATGCCGGGGCTTCGCATGACATGTATATGGGTCTGGCGACTCTTGATCAGATCCAGAAGCGGGGCCAGTGGGCCCATGCGCAGAGTGTGGTGAGATATTCGAAGCACGGCAAAATCCTTCGGCAAGTACATAAGTTGTCACCTGAGCAGCAAGGGAAGACTTCGGTTGCGGAGAGAGAGTTTCCTGTCAAGCTCCTTCGGGCTCTCAGAAAATGCTGAAGCCGGCTTCGCCAGATGCCTTATGGGCAGATATGGGAGTGGAGTCTCTCGATCTCGGCCTTTGTCAACTGATTCAGTTCTGTTGAGTTTACTTTCCCGACTGGAGTGCTACAGAACTTAGCGCCCGTGCGATCGGGCGTCCGTGCGAGTAAAATGAAGTTGCGAATGTTCTGGATGGCTACCGCCACTCCGACCGACCACGCTCCTAAGTTGAGCCCTGGGTAAGCGTGTAGCCGCTAGGGATAATTTTTGTCTGTGATTTGTGCTTTCCAGAGAGGCGAGGAGCGTCCCGATTGAATGCTTGCATCGCCCGTGGCATACATGCTCAAGCGCACCGCGTCCGTCCCCATCCTCCCACCTTTTCCTTTCCAGACGCAGTCGGTGCCGATGCGTGCAGGCTTTCCTTTTTTGATTAATCTTCTCAGGGGAGTGGAGTCTCTCGATCTCGGCCTTTGTCAACTGATTCAGTTCTGTTGAGTTTACTTTCCCGACTGGAGTGCTACAGAACTTAGCGCCCGTGCGATCGGGCGTCCGTGCGAGTAAAATGAAGTTGTGAATGTTCTGGATGGCTACCGCCACTCCGACCGACCACGCTCCTAAGTTGAGCCCTGGGTAAGCGTGTAGCCGCTAGGGATAATATATATATATATATGTGTGTATGTGTGTGTTGTGTGTTATGTAGTTTTCTGGAGGGACTGAACCCAGCCTACTCAATCCGCCTTCCTACTTAATGTTTCTACCTGTTTCTTCCGACCAGCTTCTTCCGGGTATGTCCCTCTACAGGAAGATTATTCAAGAAAAATCAAAACATACTGCGGGGACGATTGTTCGACTATCTGTGGCATTTGTTGTGCTATTATTCGTCTTTCTTTGCCAATCCGCTTGTAGGAGGACATGCCCGACCCACCCATCGGTCGTTGAAAGTAGGTACTTCTGGATTCCCAAGTCCCTGTATATTTCTAGCGCCGTCCTGCTTCGAGAGTATGTGTACATATACATAGATTTACATCTGTATAGGTGTTTTGTTGTGTTATGTTATTCTCTGGGAGGGCCTGGACCCAACCTACTCGATCCGCCTTCCTACGGTTTGTTCCGTCCTACTTCTTCCGACCGATGGGTAAACCTTGCGTTATGATGTTCCAACATACTTTCGCCTGGACCACCAGAAATAATTTCGAGCACCAAGCAAGTACCGACACTTGAGGGTTTCGCGTGTCGGGCCCTGGGAGGCGATATTCGTTCGACACGGTTTCGATAGTTTTTTTTCTGGGTGCTCGGAATTATTCGGGATGGGGTCCTTAAGTACGATGGGAGCAACATGTGGGCGTTTTTGTTATTCCTCATTTTGCCGATCGACGCGGGCCCTCGCACCCCCCTTAACCCCCCCATGGAGCAGATCTTGGCCGTTTTGGGGGCGCCTGCTTCGAGCAGGTGGAGCCTCCCCCACAGGGCGCACGGCCCCAAACAGTCGCACTAAGCAGAGTTCCGGGGCCACTCCTCCTCCTCCTCCTCCTCCTCCTCCTCCTCCTCCTCCTCCTCCTCCTCCTCCTCCTCCTCCTCCCTCCTCCTCCCCTCCTCCTCCTCCCCTCCTCCTCCTCCTCCCCCCCTCCTCCTCCTCCCCCTCCTCCCCTCCCCCTCCCCCTCCCGCCCAATGCCGACACGCGTGCGGCCCCCGCGCTCGGGCCTGCGAGGCCCGAGCGCCGCCATTGGCGCCCCTCCGGCAGCGGCCGACGCCGGGCCAGGCGCTGTCGGTGGGCTCGCTGTACCCCAGACGTGCTCGCGTCGCAAACCCCCCCTCCTCAAGAAAGGACGGGCGGTTTTTCGCCATGTTCTGAGGTTTTCCGCCATTTTCGCTGTTTTTTCGCCTTCAAACAGGGACGGGCGGTTTTTCGCGATTTTCGGCCCCAGGGGGCCCTCGCCGGGCCCCGGGGCCGTCAAAGAGCGACTCGGGACGCAGCGCCGGTCCTGGGGAACGGGTCGAGGCTTCCGGGGACGCCGTCCTGGAAGAAGCAGGGCGTCGCATGTCTGGGCTTCCACCGCCACCACCATGAGCAGGAGCGGGAGGGGGTCCTCCTCCTCCTCCTCCGCCCCCTCCTCCTCCCCCTCCTCCTCCCCTCCTCCTCCTCCTCCTCCTCCTCCTCCTCCTCCTCCTCCTCCTCCTCCTCCTCCTCGTCCTCCTCCTCCTCCCCCCCTCCAACTCATGGTGGTGGTGGTGGTGGAAAACAGGCCAATCAGTCATCGGGAAGCCGAGGCTGTTCCAGGCGCAGCGATCCGCGTGGGGCGGTCCAGAAGCGGCCCCGCCTTCGAGGGTCGAAGGAGCTGCCGTCTCGGCGGAGGGCGGCGCAATGGCGGCGGAAGGTCGGCGGAAGTAAAACGGCGGCGGCTCCGCCGGCGGAAGCTCGGCGGAAGTAAACAGCTGCCCTCCAAGAGCTGGCAACACTTTTGGGTTCAGGGTTTCCGGAACCCGCCACGCAGTGCCAGAACGCTTCGGAACGCCTGCGTCACCGCGACGTGAATCTGGCGTATGTCGTAGAAGGACAAGGCCATAAACATACATGTTTGGCGTTCCGCGCGGATTTCTCGGATCCACGCTGGGCCCCCCCTGGCGTCGCCTCTGGCGCCGCCCCTGGCGCGCTCCGTGCGCCAGAAGAGGGGGGACTGGCGCAGATCCAAGACATTCGGGCGGACCTCCAAGAGTTGATGCTCCTGGCGCTTCCTGCTCCTCCAGTGTGCCGAGGGGGCCTGGCCAGGACCGGTGTGGGTGCAGATCCCAGACATGCGACGTCCTCATTTTTTCAGGACGGCGCCCCTGGAAATCTAGACCCTTTCCCTGGGGCCGGTTTTTCGTCCTGAGTCGTTTTTTGACGGTCCCGAGGCCCGGCGAGGGCCCCCAGGGGTCGAAAATAGCGAAAAACCTCCCGTCTTGATTCTTTAACGACGCCATCATGTCTGGGATGGCTCCTCCTACTGCAAGAGGGGGGCAGCGGCTGCTCGGAGGCAGTGGCCGCCGGGAGGCAGTTTGGCCTCCGGCATGGCCTGCGCCGTGGCAGTCCGCGCGCGTCGCGGTCGTCCGCCCGGCCGCCGCGCACGGCGGAGGCCGCGGCTGCCGGGGAGCAGGGGCCGCCAGAGGCGGCTTGGTCTTCGGCGTGGCCTGCCCCGCGCTGGCCAGAGGCAACCCAGACCTCCTCGCGTTGTGAAAAAAACACGACGGGAGGTTTTTGGCTATTTTCGGCCTCTGGGGGCCCTTCCCGGGCCTCGGGACCGTCAAAAAACGACTCAGGATGAAGAACCGGTCCTGGGGCAAGGGTCCAAACCTCTTGGGGTCGACGTCGTGAAAAAATCACGACGTCGGAGGTCTGGGAATTTGGCCTTCGGCGCGTCCTGCCCCATGTCTCGCGGTCTTCCTCCCGCTGCGCGAAGCAGATCTGGGGGGCGTGGCCGCAGGAGGCCTCCACGGAACTCTGCGGAGGTTATCTCCAGGGTCCCATGAACACATACGCAAAGGACGGCACCCTCCCCTGGCACACAAGGCAAGCCGGGGGCGCTGCCCGGGAGGACCCGCGCAGCAGTTTTTTTTGTTATCCTGTGCAGGTTCGTATTTTGTTAGTCGCTTCCGTCTCGACATCGCTTCGGAACAGTCATGCGTCGCTCTTCCTCGCGTTATATCGCGTTGGAACAGCCCGTGCTGTTAGCACGGCCGCAGAGTTCGTCCGCCAGCCGCGCACACTGCCGCGGGCGGCGTGCTAGCTGCAAGCTTTGATCTGGCTCTTGTTCCCGTGTCGCTGGGCCTCCTGCTGCTCCTCCTCCTTCCCTACTGCCACCAGGCCCTTGGCTCCGACCCATGGCAGCAGGGTCGTGATCCTTGGAGCGCTGCCGCTATCGCCGCAACAGGTGTTCAGCCTCATGGGCGCGATGCTCCTGATCCCATTCAGGGCAACGGTCTTTGGTCTGACAGGTTTCGGAATTGCGTGAGGTCGCGTCGGTTCGGCGCGCCAACGTGCCGCGCGAACGCGCGACCGGCCCAATCGCCGCGTAGTGTTGCGTGCTTCCCCCTCTCCACTCTTCGCTCCTCCCCTCCCGCTGTGTCGTCCCGCGTGCGTCTGTCTGATAATCCCAGGCGGATTCCAAAGCAAAGCTCCCCCCCCTCCTGAGGAAGCGAGAGGTCTGTTTGGTAGTAAGTTATGAAGAGTTGAAAAATACGGTTTTCTGGAGAATTCGCAAGAGCCAGGGCACAAGCTTGTTTTCTGTGTTGGAAGGTCGCGTTGCGAAGCCATGCGTTTTTTGTTTTATGCGTTTTCGGGGCAATCGATTTTTGACATCCGCACGAAAGCTAAAGTTTCGGAAGGATTCCGGCATGCGCGCGCGACGACGCGCGCGCGTGCATTTCGTCTCATTTCTGTTGCAAGGTATGTTCGAACGAAAACTGATGAATTTTGATAAACGAGTGTGCGCATAGTGCTTCTGTAGAGGATGGGGGGGTACCCATGCCAGCCTGCCTGGGGTGATGTGAATTCATATTTCGGATGGATGATGAGGCCGAAACGCATGTAATTTGCCATGGGAAAAATGGGGCAGTGCAATTCCAGGGTTGGTGGGGGGTGTGATCCTCATGTTGGTTTAAAACATGCTGGACTTATTTGTTCTTACAGGGAGTTGTCAACTCTACTGCTCGCGCCATCGCCCTGCCCCCCCACCTGCAACTTGGTTTGCAAAAGCCACGCGGCGGCGATGACTGCTCGGCGCTGGCTGGCGCGTCGCTGCGGCCGCGCTAGCGCGCGGTCTCACGCGCAGGGCGGCTTGCTAGTCTGGCGCGACCGACGCGGCCGCGGTGCCGTTGACCGCAGGGGACTTCCCAGCGCGTCTCCCAGGCCGCACTGGCGCGCGGGCACTTCGGTGCGAGTCGGTGATTCGGGCGGTCGCGGTCATGTCGACGTCGGCAACGGCAGACACGATGACGGCAGGAGCGATGCTGCTGACGCTGATGCTGCTGATGATGATGGTGATATGAAGATGATGGTGATGATGATGATGATGACGACGATGATGGTGATGATGATGTTTATGATGATGCTGATGATTATGATGCTGATGATGATGATGGCGGCAAGGCCAATGACGGCGCCGATGCTGTTGGCGCCGACGACGACGGTGGAACCCGCGTATCGGTGATACAGGTTACGGTTGGATTTCGACCTGCGCGCTCGGCCGACGGGCGCGAGTGGCCCGCGCTCGTCGTTTGACCAGAGTCGCGCCCCCCCCGTCCCCCCGAGCAAACGCGCAAAACTTCACGAATTATTTCGACATGCGCCCTCGAGAAGCCCGCCTGGTCGCATTTGACGGACATCTGGAGGCACCCGTGGTTCCGTCCGCATTCCGGATTCGCAAGAGCCTGCGTTGATTTTTTTTTTGCGGGAATCCATGGTCCAAAGCAGAAATCCATGGTTCAAAGCAATGTGTCGTAGAAGTGTTCGGGAACTCCGATATTGCAGCCCATGCTGAAGCTACGGTTTTTCGACAACGTCGGCATGCGCCCGCGACGACGCGCGCGTGCGCATTGCGTCGTCTTGTTCAGGGGTTGATGGAAAACTGCTGATATTTGCAAAGCGAGCGCCCGCATGGTAGAATTTTTCCGGCATGTGGGGAGGGGGGGGGGGGGGGGGCGATGCGGGCCTGGTTGGGATGGTACAGCGGAGGCCCATGCCAAGAATCACCTTGCTTGCCTCCAGGGTGCCTTGGGTTTCTTTGGTTTCGATGGTTTTGCGATGGAAAGCGTGACGTCCCCACACCAAAAACCAGGCGTCCCAGGGTTGTTTTTGTTTGTGGAAGGTTTCTTGTGGACTGGATTCCGCTGAGTTAATTTATTCGTAAGATGCACGACGGGGCAGAACATGACGCAACGTGTATTATCCCGGCCCGGGGGGCGGGGCGAAAGAGGGGGGCGGGGGCGCGCAGACGGAGTGGGCGGGTGGTAAAGGACAGGGAAGGGGTACGTTTATACACATATATGTATATATATGTATAACAGGAGAGAAGAGGACAGGCGGATGGTAGAGGACAGGAGAGGGTGGAACACTGAGTGAACATTTTGTAAAGCAGCATGAAGGGCGTCTACGTAGGGGAATGTACCACATGCGTGGTGCAATCGATGTGGTGTCATTCATGTACGGGCCCACCCGTAACCTGATGTTTGACTGTCTCTCTGACTGACTGATTGACAGAATTGACAAATGAGTCACCGAAGCCGTTCGACGGCAGCTTTATTTCTGGGGGTGGGTATATTTCGCTGGCAGTTTTAAGCGAGGGGTGTGAGGATATTTCGCTGGCAGTGTTAAGTCCAGGGGGGTAGGATATTGTGTTATTTAGCTGGCAGTTTTAAACCAGGGGCGGTGAGGATATTTCGCTGGCAGTTTCAAGGCCGTGGATTGAGGTTCTCTCGCTGGCATTTTTAGGTCAGGGGGGGACCTTTCGCTGGCCGTTTTATTTGATGGGTATGATGATATTTCGCTGGCAGTTGTAAGTCAGGGGGTTGAGGATATGTCGCCGACTGTTTTTTTCTGGGGTTGGAATATTTCGCTGGCAGTTTTAAGCGAGGGGTGAGGATATTCCGCTGGCAGTTGTAAGTCAGGGGGTGGAGGACATTTCGCTGGTATTTTCAAGCGAGGGGTGTGAGGATATTTCGCTGGCAGTTTCAAGCGAGGGTTGTGAGGATATTTCGCTGGCAGTTTTCGCTCAGGGGGTGAGGATATTTGCTGAGGGCTGTGACGATATTTCGCTGGCAGTGTTAAGCCAGGGCGGTGAGGATATTTCGCTGGCAGTTTTAGGCCATGGGGTGAGGATATTTCGGTTGCAGCTTGAAGGGAGGATTGTGAAGATATTTCGCACGTCAGGGGGTTGAGGAGATTTCGCTGGCATTTTTACGACAGGGGGTTAATGATCTGATGCTGGCAGTTTCAAGTCCAGGGGCTGAGGATATTCACATGGCAGTTTTAGGCCGGGGGCGGTGAGGATATCTCGCTGGCAGTTTCAAGCGATGGGTGTGAGGATATTTCGCTGGCAGCCTCAAGCGAGGGGTGTGAGGATACGCCGCGGGCAGTCTTGAGGCCAGGCGGCGGAGAGACTTCCCAGACGTGACCAAGCAGCACCATGTGTCACGCACGGGCGGTCGGACTACCTCCCACGCTCCCAGCACAATGGCGGAGAAGGAGGCGGATTAGGGGGTGGAGGAGGGGGGGGGAAGGAGGATACCGACGTCGTGAGGGGGGGGAAAGAGGAGGCTGGTGGGGAGGGGGCTGAGGAAGGAGGAGGGGGAAAGCGTCGGATTAGGATGAGGAGGAGGAGGATGAGGAGGTGGCTGACAAGGAGGGTCGAGGAGGCGGAAGACAAGGAGGGAGTAGGAGAGGGAGGAGGCGGGGGAAGGAGGAGCCGGAGGAGGTGGACGACGGGAGGGGGACGGGTGAGAGGGAGGACGGAGGAAGAGGACGAAGAGGAGGTGGCGAAAGGGTGGGGGTGTCAGAGGTAGGGCTGGAGAGGCGTCGTGGTCGGTGTGGGCATCCACGCGCCACGCTATGCAGCGTAGGTTCGTGCCCTGCTTGGCCCAGCCGAAGGCTACTCCAGATTTCGTAATAAAAGGGAGGGGGTCTGGACCCTCCAAGACAAGCCATTTCAGACCTCCCCAAACATCGTCCCCAGACCCCCCCAGGCCCTGCAAGATAGCTTGGAAAAGACCCCCCCCGAAATTAGACCCCCCTCCCTTTATTACGAAATTTGGAGTACGGTTGCAGCGCGGTGCTGCGCCCGTACATCTGCTCGCACCTCGGCGTGGGAGCGGCGAGGGGGCAGAGGTCGAGCTTTCCGGTGTTTTTTTGGTCCATTGCGGATTCATGTTCACGCAGGACGCATGATTTTCTTCTGGAGGTGCAGAAGGCGATGATGAGAGTCGGAAATGAATGACCGCACCCCCTTTCCCCCGTAGAATCTTTTTACACGGGCGGGATCCGTGGTCCGCGGATCCGTTTTTTTGTTCCCCGTTTAAATACTATTCAATCGCACGAATTTTAACGTGGGAAAAATCGGATCCGCCGTAAAACATACGTCCGAACACGGATCCAGCAAATTCCAAATCGGATCCGCGCAGACGGAAATCGGATCCACCGAAGCAAACGCCAAAGCCACAATTGGATCCGCGCGACTATCACGGGA